CTTGGCAGCTAACACTTGGACTTTATCCAGAATGGAATTTGAGGTACTGAGGAGATTGCATTGTAATAAATCCCCTCTATCTCCAGTCAGTCAGTAGTAGGTAGCTGTGGGGTGTATCTGTGGAGGTTTGGAGTTTTTTTGCAGTTTTCAATCTGGATGCATTTGGGGCCTAGATGTTCTCCTCCTGAGCAGCATTTTACTCAGCCATTTGGAAAACATAAATGTATTGAACTCTTGTAAACAGAGCAGGTCAGGAATCAAGCACAGTAGCAGTTTTCATTATCAGAAAGGTCAAAAAATTGAATAATGGGGGAGCAAGCATCCCCAGTTTTCAACACAGATTATTATATCTTTAGTGTAATTTTCAATGTAACTTATCAGATGAGTCAGGAGTGCAGACAGAATCAAGAAGAAGCAGACTTTCTTTGCTGGTGAATTTTATCTGTCTGTAAACAGTAATGATGTCATGTTTACTGCTTAATAAATTAGATTGCTGTTCATAAAGAAGTTCAGTGGAAGTTTCAGAGTTAAAAAATAGTGACCCACTGGTTGGTTTCCTGCAGTGAAAAATGTAAGTACACAAGTTGTTTTTGCCATGCAAGTATGAGAGGTCCCCTTCCTCTTACCCACTTCTTCCCATATCACTGCAGTGCAAAAGGAAACTAATTATTGAGTTTCTATCTTTATTATGTTGCATTGGCAACCAAAAAAGAGATAGTTTTTGGCTAAGAAAACATTCTCCTAAAGCTCTGTTCTTTGGACAGACAGGTTTTTACCCTCCAGCATGAGCTGCCTCTTGTTCATGTGCACTCTGAGGTAGCTCATTCAGGTTTGATGTCTTTGTCTTTCCAGCACTTGGACTTGTCTGCAATCAGGATGTCTTATGATGTGTGTATTTAACAAGGTCTTGATCAGATCTGTGAGCTACGATGCCAAGAGCTGTGTCCTGTGTGTGCAGTTGAGGTGTGTGTTAAAACTTTTTTCAGCAGTGAACTGACTACCATCTAAATAGTGTACTTTCATCTGCTCTTCTTTCATCAATAGCAGTTTTCCCTAGCAGTTAGATGGAAATTAGAGGCAGAGATTTCATTAGGCAGTTGCATTTGGACATCTGAAGATGCAGAAGCCATAGACAGCCTTATGACTCTAGTCTGAAATGCTGGTAATCCTGATGGGTGTGATGTATTGCTGGCATACCTCATACTTTATTTTGCTTCCACTCTGTGGTCCATTCCTACAAATTCTCACCACACGTGACCATCATGAAGATGTGGACAGGTTCAGGGGGAAATGTACCTCAATACACCTAAAACAATTAGGGGCAGTGCAGACCAGCTGCTGTGGTATGGTGGCTGCTGCAGCTTGGGACTTGGCAGAACAGGTGAGGCCCCTTTTGCTCTCCTGTCTTGTGTGTCTTGGAAGGTAAAACCCACAATCCACCATTAACAAAATTTGTATTTCCCAGTGAAGAGGCAGTACTATCCAATCCAGAAGCATCATTCCCACAGGGACAGTGTGATGGATGTACATAAATGTCTAATAACTGTATGACTACTGTCTTTTCATTGCTGGGGTGCATTTCTTTTTGTTATAAAAACAGTTTTGCTGAGGAATAAGTCCTTCTCTCAAAAATACATTGTTAAATTAAGTCTGCCAGTGGAGCAGTGCCAATTCCTTGAGCATTAGCGCCCGTGTACAAGTTCCTTTTAAAATGTTAACTTCATTAGGAAATACAGCCAGGATGTGAGGTTCTGAGAGGTTGTTTTTTGTTTTGTTTTTCTCTGAAGGCTTTAAGTATGATTCAGTTGAGTTACAGAGCTGCTAATGCTTCACCCACAGCAGGATTTGATGGGATCGTGGCATGTTTGTTACTGTAAGGCTTTGTTGACTTGCTTGTTATTGCTACAGTGCCTTTTAGTATTTCAGCTAAGACTAGTACTCTAAGCACTTGTTTTTCTGAGAGTTATATAGGTGTTTTTCATTCTTCTGCCTGTTACGTACCCACATATGAAGTCAGGGAAAAAAAAAAGAGAGATACAGGGGAGTTAAAATGATCATTGCCAGAGTTACAGAAGCCAGCTTTAACCCTCCTGAGTGAAGGAAGGTGTTTCCCTGTATAAATTATTCCATAATATGATGATATGTAGTGCTGTGCCTTGTATTTTTGGCAGCTTGTTTTGGTGGCACTGTTTAAGGAAAGAATGCAGGATGAATGGATCCCTGGCATGATCCAGAAAGTGCTTTTCCTGAACGGCAAGGATGAGTTTAAGATTATGGTGCTGTTTTGAAATTTCAACTTGTTTTCACAAGCCATATGGCTGCTACAGATGTCAGAGACCTTTTAATTCTTCTGCCAAAGGCTTTTTTTTTCCTAGCAAGCGTAGTCTTGTGCCAAAGCAGAAGCACTCATGGAACTTGAATCCCCCTCTCTGTGGTGCAGGAAATGAGGAAGCTATCACATGGATGCTGTCAGTCAGATCATGAACAGGGGAGAGGCTATGTTCATTCCTGCAGGCAGTGATCCTTGCCAGCTCTCTTAAGACCTTCACATCCACCTTGACACGAGACAGCTCCACTGGTGTTTCACTCATTACCTCACCTGCAACTGAAAGAATCCTGGGCCCATTAGGGCAAACAATACAGGAGTATAGGATTGCAAGATGATGTGCAAGTGCTAATTGAAGTATTGTTTAAAGCTGGCATAGTTAAATAAATACAGAACCTGAGGTGGACATCATTATATTTGTTAGAATCTAATCTTTTGGGATTTGTAGAAGAAAATTTTTGACTGGACTTAACTTAATACTAGACTTTCTCTTTGTGTATCCAAGGCATGTATCTCTTTATTTATCTGTATGGATTCAACCAGTTCTCCAATATTTTAATTCTTACACCTTTTTCCTTCTGTTGTGCTAGTGAAAATACCTCTTGATAAAAGTGTCAGTTCTGCAGAGCTGGAGTCCTGGGCTGCCAGGTCCACAAGCCAGGGGTCTCTCTACCTTATGGAGTGAAAATAATTGAAAGTAAGAGTGGTCTATTGTCCTTCATATAGGGCAGTTGCAAGAAGGAGAATGTGACCCTCACAGTTGTACAGGTGTTACTAGACAACACTGGAATTCCAGGAGTTGGACTTCTAGGCTGTGGAGAGGCACAGATCCCCATGGTTACAGAGTGCCCTAACTTTGACATCTTTGTTCTAAAAGATGCAGTTAAGTGGCCTTCATGTCGTTGTATTATAGTCAGGGGTTTGTTTCCAACCAGAAATGACCTTGTAAAATCTCAGGCTGTTACAAGCATGAAACAAAGAAATGCTGTTTACCTGCTACATAAGACAGCACCTCTAGTCACTTTAAAAAAAAGTTCTGAAATATTAAATATTATGACTTATAAAAATCAGCTGAAAGCTGAGCATGAAATCTGCATTCCTTGGTCTGGTTTTCTTCCCAATGTTGTTTTAGTTTTGCACTGTGTATATTTTATCTTGAGATTTGGGAAGTAGTGTGCAAGACAGCAAATCATCAGAATCTGAAAAACAGTAAATATGTTCATTAATCATTCTTAGGGACAGAGGTGCATTATTTAATGCAGATAAAGGAAAAGTAGAACTTAAACTATGTTTAGTGAAAATGGAAGGTTAGAGACTTTAGGAGCAAACAATAATAAACTATAAGAAAATATATATTTTTGAAACTTCAGATCTCAGCCACAGGTCTTTCTGCAAAGGTAACAAAAATAGTTTCTGACACAATGATTCTGTCCCTGCTAAATTTCAAATTCTGGTTCTAAAACACAGAACATAAACGTCTCACAAAAATAGCAGGAAAAATTGGCAATCATTAACAAGTTTTTTCCTCTCAATTTTTGTTTGAATCTAGTGAGATATTAAGCAGTTTAGAAGCTTGAAGCTTTTCAACTTTAAGGACTGAGAGATAGACTTCCTGTGGCATAAAAAAAAAACCAAAAAAACAAGCATTAAAAGATGAATTCTTACTATGGACAGACCCTCAGCTGATACAAAGATATATTTCATTTTATGATTAGAACTGTGGCTAGTTAATGGATGCTTATCTGGCTTAGAGCTACTAGTGTGAGACATTTAGAGAAATGGTTGCTGAGAGGAAGGTTTTATAGAAACCTGACCTCTACAAACCACTCAAGGGCCAATGGTGGGGCCTTTCCCTGGGACACAGGAGGCTGGTTTAGGCTTAAGTCTACAGTATTGTACACAGGGCAGCCTTGGGGCATTCCTCATGTCCAAAGATTTAAATCAGTAATACTTCCACCCAATGATTCTGATCTTTCACTCCTCACTTGTAAATGAATTTATATCTACACAGATGCTATTCAAAATACTGTTACTGAGGGAATAGCCACACCAGTGGTTATTTCCACTGAGCAGAACAGCATTGCAACATTATTAAATAGCTCTTGAGTATGAATTCATCCAAGAAGTGGGTTATTGGAATAAAATCTATTTTATTAGTGCCTTAGGACACTCAGCCAAAACCCAGAGTCCCCGAGCGCTATTCAGACACATAAGATGAAACAGTCTCTACCTCAGAAATCTATAATCGGATTATACAAAGCAGACAAATAAAAGAAATAGAGAAATTGAGACAGGAAGGGGCAAAATGGGTTCTCTGCCATCACATAGCTGGGAAGCGTGTAGCTAGGCAATAGCACAGGTAGCTTTTTTTAAAAAAGTAAAAATGAAAAAGTGCAGCAATGTAAATGAGAATTTGTTAACAACAAAACCCAGAATCTGCACCTCCGGAAAGAAAGGGAAAATAATTTATCCACCCACACTCACTTTCTTCTGATGAAGGCAGGTGAATAAAGCTGCACTAATAGAGTGTGACGCTCACAATCCTGAGCTGCGCTTGCTGAGGCGGAACTGAAAGGTAACCATCGTCTCCAGGAAAACAATAGCCCCGCAGCCCCCGCGGTGCCTGCAGGGTCACATCCCATTCATCCCCTGCACATGTCGTTCTCACGTGAAGGTTGTTCCCGTCCAGCTGTTATGGAGTCAGTGGATGAAGCTGAAGGAGAGCTGAGCAGGAAGGAGCAGTCCCTGAAAGCCTCCCAGAAAACAACAGTGCTCGGTTGGCCTCCCCCGTGGAATGGATTAATACCTGGACACAGCATGTATCTGTTTGTCCTCTCACAGATACTGGTAAGGCAGCTTGCATGGCTTTGGAATGCTGATACCCTTCTTTTAGGCTTTTCTGGCTTACTCTCACTGTAGACGTAGCAGTGGGAATGAGTGTAGTCCTCATTTCTGCAGCCACCTCTCATGGCTTTGCCTTGAGAGCTGCCCCTGCCTTTTGATGGCCCAGACTCCCATCCCGTTTCCTGCCACCCTGCAAATGCCTCCTTTGCCAAATGACCAATATCCCACCAAATCCATTTTCCATAGTTGATATGTATGGGGGTAAAGACCCATGTTGTTTACAAGTGTGGTGTGGGTTGAGGTTATACCTCTCTGTGAGTGTGTTAAATATAAAGTCATTGCTTTTGTAGTTTATGTTAACTGGCATGTGCTGCACCCTTGAGTGGTTTAAATGAAAAGTTTCTGTGTGTATTTATAGTGATACCTATGTGAAACATGGCTGTTTGTGAGAGGCCTTAAGAGCCTTTTAATAACATCCTAAGTTCATGGAATTACTAGTTTTGATCTAAAAGTAGTAGTCCTGAAAGTTCAGAAGCCAGAGGAACCTGTTGCTCTTTCAGTGTTGCTCCACTTGCTGTTTCTGGGCAGCCCTTTTGCTAGTGAGGGTCGGAGGGAGCCTGTGTAACTCAGTGATGCACATGTACTTAATAGTGGCTCAGCTTGGAGCCTTCAGTCTTTTTATTCATGTTAAGCTACAGCCTAGAAAATACCTGACTTCTTAAAGCAAAAGCGATAATCAACGTTAAATCAATGCTAACTAAATTAGTTAATTATGCAGTCTTGAAATGAAAATGAATGTGTGGATAATGAGAGATGCTAATTACGTCTTTTCTGATTGATTGCACAGCTTCTCTGCATGATGCTGTGGTACAGCACTTACGGGACCATCCCAGCAGCTCAGAATGCCTTTGACCTGCTCGCTTACTTGCTTACCCCATTTAAACAGGCTTTTTCAGGGGAGGTAAGTCCCTGAGCTCCTCTCTGGTTGTATACTTGATGTCAGTAGCCTTGGGTGGTGCTTCTAATATCTCTTCTGATAAGTATAATATGTGTGCATTTCATGAGTACATCCTGAAATGGTAGAAGAGTTTCCTGAAAGCAGATGAATATTTTATCTTTGAGACATTGGGCTGAATTTTTTACTATGACATTAGGTCAGCACAGCAGATTTTTCATTATGTGAAAATTATTGCAAATGAAACAAAGCAATAAGAAGTCATTAAAGGGAGAGCTGGAACTTAATTTCTTAGGATGACTAGAACCTTAAATTCTGGAAGAATGGATCAACCCATATAAAAGGTGCAAATCGCAACACAGTCTTAAAAATATTTTTTATTAAGTGTTTAGAACATATCTGTGTGCAGGAAATGTATTTCAAGTGTACTAGGTGCACAGATTGAATTATATCTACAGAGCTACCCCAGTAAAATTGCTTAGCTTCTCACCATGACATGATGACATGTATACCAGAATGATTCATCTGATAAATTACTGGTAATTATACCCAGTGCAGATTTTTCTAGTGTGGACAGAACCTTAATTAAGTGGTGAACAGCTACTTTCAAAAATCTGATGAAATATATTTGCTATCAGAATGCTTAGATCCATTGTACATAATCTTTGAGGCAGAGGCTTTGCAGTACTAATAGAAAATCTGATTCAGTGCCTCTTGTGATTGAAGTACAGAGGAGACTGTTTTCTGTTTCCTCAGTGTTTATGAGCTGCATGTCACCTGCTCTTTTGGAGTTTTTTGAAAGATGCACTTTTTCTTTTGCAGTTGGCTTTATTATGCACAGAGCTCTTCACAGACTGTTGCCTGTCTTATTTGCAGGGGCTCAATCATTAACAAATTGTTGTTCCTTACAGAAAAACACTCATTTGTATAATTTTGACTTACAATACTTGTCCCTCACAAAGGAAAGTGATTCCTAGAATGCACCACAAGAACACCCCAAGTATGACTTTGTACAGATGTTCATGCATATGTTTGAGGACTGTTTATTATATAGCACTATTTATTGTGCAAATTTACACTTGAAAACAGTATAGGCAAAGAAATCTTCTGGTGTTAAAATAAGCAAATGGAAGCTCTTAATTCAAAACTTCTCATTAGCTGCACTATTAGGGGAAAAACATAGTGAAATTCCTTGCTCACTGAAGTCCACTAGATCTGAATTTTGCACCTACTACAGAGAACAGGCTAAGCTATAGACTACTATAAAACGACTAAGACATCAGAATTAGTTCCACTGCCAGTGGTGTGAATTAACCTGATAGTGTTTCACTGAATGTGTAGAAAGCACAGAAAACTCCTCTGTGGCTGGATTCTATTTAAGGATCCCCAAACCCAGGAACAGTACTAAACTTTGTTTAAAGCCCTTTACCACAGTATAAAAATCACACTGACTGTAGCATTGAAGTGTTGGTCCAGTCTGCAAAACTAAATTTTGGATTCAGAGCTCAACTTTGGCAAAGCATGAGGGTTGGAAGCAGAACTCCTGTTTGCCTTGACAGTGAAATCTGGGGTTTAGACCTTCGGAGATGCTGGGGCTTAGAGATGGTTTCAGTTTCAATCTTCTCCAAAGCCTGGCTTTTTTGTTTTTTGGTGCTGATGGCAGCTTTTCCACATGTGAGTATGATATCAGTATATCTTCATGGGAAATAATACACACTTGGTCCAGAACATCCATGCAGACACTGTACTGTGCCCCTAAATACTTCATGAATCATTGTCTATTCTCTTGTTCCACAGAGCCTGACTACAGTTGGGAGTGTTGTGGTGTCATACATCCTGCTGTCTTTGGCTTCTCTAGGACTGCTATTTGTAGGATCTCTGGTAAGTTATGATACAGCACAAACTGTGTTCATGCCCTTTTTCAGTGTGTTTTTATAAGATGTCTTATTTAACAAACGTTGTTGGTGTTGTGCCCAAGTTGATTGTAAAGCATCGTTTTTGGGGCTGTTTCTATATAATTATCTGCTTGCTTTATGTAGAGGAATTAGCCTTACTCAATTTCTTGATGAATTGGGGATTGCACTAAAGTATAATGGTGTATAAAAATAGTTTTTCCACAGATGGGCAAACTACTTCTAATGAAGTAGAAGGGATGTGTCCATTAACAGGACCATCATCCATTGATTTCAATGGCAGAAGGAGCTGTTCCAGTGTGCCACTGTTCTTCTGAAGTCCTGTTAGATGGAGGCCAAGGCCCCAGCTGCAGAACAAGCTTAAGTAGCACGACTACAATTAATCTAGTTAGCTGTCAGCTGTTGGGGAGCAGCAGTGTGTTGTGTTTCTCCATGGATTGTGTAACTGGCATGAAGTTGTGTGCTAGATGGGAGAGCTATGGAGAGCTCTGTCTTGTCAGGGAGTTCTAACTGAATGTGGCTTTCCAAACCCCTCTATGCTGTTCTCTGAGAGTGGGAATGCAGCTACTGAACATGCAGGCAGAGTATCACCTCCTGTCCTTTCAGAGGTGCTCTCCAGGTAGCTCAGGAAGTTGAAGCTGTGCTGTGTACATGCTGCTTGAGTGATGGACAACATAATGAAATACATCCCAGGAATCATGGGACTGACTGTAAGTGGGCAGAGATTGCTAGTCTAACATCCTGCTTAGAGCTGGGCTGCTGCCAGCAGTTGGTAAGGCAGCCATGAAATTTTCCACTCAGGTTTTGAAAACCTTCAGGGAAGGAAGGTTTGTCATCTCTCTGTGTGCCTGTGCCACAACCATGTAGCACTTTTGAGGAAGAGATGTTTCCTCGCGTCTCATCTGAATTTCACAAAAATGTCTAGGCTGAATTTCTGCAGGCTTGTGGTCTGAGCTGATACTACCAAGAAATGTCTGGCTGCATCTCTAGAGCTGCCCTTGAAGTAGTTGTAGGACGCTGTTGGATCACCTCAGCCCCCTCTTTGCCTCCCTCACCTTCTTCCTAGACCCTTGACCTCCTTTGAAACTCTCTACTGGGACCACTCCAGTTTGTCCATATCTGTCTTAAACCGAGGGAACTAAATTTGTAGACAGTATTCAAGGTGCAGCTCCATCATTGCCAAGGAGAAGGGAATACTTCCTTTGATTTGCTGGTCACACTCCCTTCTAGGAAGTAATGTCATATTATATGCCATGCTTAAGTTTACTCAGAGGTGGCACAGTGGCAAAATTTTCTGTTTAATGTGTCAGGAAAATGGAATTTCTAAAAACTATTTACAAGGCAAAGCAATTATAGTTAATGCCTCCATTATTGTGATCATTGATGTAGGCAAGGAACTTAGTGAGGTTTATGCAATTTTCTGAGTTTTTGATGCTGCTGTACCTTATTCAGATCAATTTTGTCCTCACAAATAAACTTTTGGTAATTCTGTAATTGCAAAACTAAAAAAAAAAAAAGGACACCTAAGAATTTTCAAGAACTGTATGAGTTCCAGATAAATTATGAATTTGCAGCAAAACATTCTGGACTGAAAATCTGAATAGCAGGGATGTGATTTTTGCATATTCAGCTATTTCTCAGTGCATGAAAACATTTATTGCTGACCCATACTTAGCATAGAAGATAAAGTTAAGTGAAAGCTCTCCATGGCCAAAAATTCTGATCTCTCTTTGGAAAGTTCATTTCTGAATTCCTTGCAATTGAACATGAGTACCACTATTGATTAAAGTAGACTTGGTCCATTTTTGTGTTGGTTAAAATTTCTGTATAGAAAAACATTTTCTAACAGTTTCCATGTTGGTGGGTTTGCACTGGTTTTTATTCCTGTGGGCTGTGCTAAGACTTTTCTAGCTAGAGTAGAGGCACAAATGTCACTCTGTGTCACCCTACTCTGTGGATAAATTGCTGGGCCACAGAGTATAAAAGTGTCCTGTGAGTCCTGTCTGTGGTCCTTCTTGCCCAGTATGTTCTCTCTAACATGGACATTAGGAAGGAGAGATTGTTTAGAGAGGGCACATAAGCCTTGTCCCTTCCTGCCTACCTGTCACCTTCCTCTCAGATGTCTGAGGTCATGCTGCTTTGCAATTTGCAAATTTGAAAGCATCTGTTTTTATCAGTATTTGCAGAGTAAGGTATAACATAGTCACTGGCAGAACATTGAAAATGGTAATTGGACCAGGCAGGGTTTCTAAAATCCTGGCCTGCTGGACAAGAGATTGTTGCATGAAAACAGTTTTCTTTATTTTCCCTTTTGTCTCAGCTGAGTTATCTCTCTCTCTCTCTCTCTCCACTTAAAATTGATTTTAAGCCATGTGCTGCCTAGAAGAGACCTTGAAGGATTCTTCCTTTGAGAGTGCTTTCATGACCAAGCCCTTCTTTCCCAATGTTGAAATTAGCACTGTCCTGCATGACATCCTAATGTGCTTTAGTAGCCCAGGAAGAGAAATCTGATCTTTTTCAGTGGCACTTTTTAAAATCCAACTAGTCATTTGGAAACCACACAAGAAGATGAGAGCAGAGGCTTTTACTGTGGAAAATAAGATGTGTTCCTAGTCTCAAAAGGATGCATGACCAGTGTAGTTTGCATGGCATTAGTATGAGTGATACTACTCCTAGTTCTATGCTAGATGGATGAAGTTTGCCTAAGGTTCCAGATCCTGGAATTCAGAGGTGGGCTTGAAATTTTTACTAAAAGCTGTGTGGAGAATTTGAAGTTTACTGATCTGATTTCCAAATCATCTAGTCTATCACAGCATCTGTGCAAACTGATATGGTGCGGAAATTTTTTAGATTCATGCAATTTCAAACCTTTTGTTAATTTGTAATATAAACTTCCATATTGCAGTTGTGTCTTAAAACTTCACAGGATTCATTATTTAATGTTCATACCATATTCAAATCAGATAATTAGATATACACAGTGTGTGCCCCTGGCCAAAAACTGATCCGGGCATTTTGAGCCCCAGGATCAGGTACATCAAAATTGAGGCCTCTTCAAAAAATGATGGGTTTATGCATAGATTTGGGGTACAGTGCCTGGTTATTAAAGATGTTAAGCTCAATTATATTAACTTAAAACAGCTATATGTAAATTTCAGATGGAGAGCCATTAAATCAGGAGAGGTGTGATTTGTAGAATACTATAGTGGATTTTTGTTTTGTAAACAAGCCTGGGAAGGATAAGAAACTGAACAAAAGGACAGTGGTATCACGTTGGCTTGCATATGATGGTCACAAGCACATTCCACTTCCACTGTATCCCTGAGTTAAGCCTGGCTAGCTCTGTGGAAACCTCTGTGGCTGAAAGCAGGTTTGAATGGGTAGATGTGAATCCTTGCAACACACATGACAAAGCTGCTCCTGCATGGAACATTCCTGTTCTCTTCAGTGCTCTCCAATTCTAGTACAGACAGCTGGAATGCTGTCCTTAAGACCCTTGCCCTATGCTACATGGAAGGGCTGGCTACAAGCAGCAACTTTTTAAAATGTTTCTTTCCTCCAGTTTTGGCACCTCCTCAGAGCCCCTCCAGACCCCCCGTTTCCACTGCAAGAGGACAGACGGCAGTCTGTGAGCCGGCAGCCTTCCTTCACATACTCAGAGTGGACAGAGGATAAAAATGAAGATGACTTCCTAGATCTGGATCCCGTACCAGAGACTCCAGTCTTTGACTGCGTCATGGACATTAAAGCGGAGACAGACCCAGCTACTCTGACGGTTAAATCCGTGGGCTTGCAAGAAAGGTAGGGTAGATGTGACTAGTAGGGAAAAGTCTGCTCCCAGATTTTGTGGGTTTAGGAATTCTGTGCCTGGTAGGAAGCTTTATTGCCTTTGTGAATGTCACTTTCAAATGTGGTTGTGAAGTCAAGCACCTGCTTTATTTCCTGTCCTGTTTTCAGTCCAGTAATAAATACAAGCGTGTTACTTAAACAGCACACAGTTTCTGGACAGCTGGCAACAAGTGCTGTTCTAAATTATCATTTCTTTCCATTGAATACATCTGTTTGTGTTTGATCAGTCTCTCACCATTCATCAAGACAGCAACTGCATTGCATGAAATCCCCTATAGAGCAGTAAAAGCTTTTACCTCTGAAAGAGATGGGTCTTGTTGATTTTTTTTTTTTCCACCAAGTCACTCGTACTGGAGGACTAGTCTTTTCTCCAAAAGCAAGCCATATAAAAAGTGACAGTCTTTAGTATTCTTCATATAAATGAGTTAATCCAGAATTACATTAATTATTCACTTGAACCCAGTACTGAAACTTTGGGGTGAGCTGGTGTTCACCACTCGAACCATAAGGGCATCTTGAAAAGAGGAGTTTCTCAGGCAAGTTAGGAGCTTCTCAAAGAGGTTCACAGCCAGGAAAGGGCAGTTTCAAGACTAAAGGAAAATCTTTCTGTTTTGTGTCCTTTCAGTTGTCTTAGTGAAATAGAACAAAGGTCTTGATGATAGAATTCCTGTGAAGAAATTCTGCAAAAGTGACAATGTTATGCATAAGAATGAAGTTACTGAGGGGTCCAGCATAGCAAAGTATCACCTTTCTTTTTTTTTCAGTTTTTCTCAAGCTTAATTGGAGTGCTAATTATAGTTAATTCTCATCTCTAAAGCTTAAAACAAAGGACAGAACATAGATTTTAAGAATATAAAGCTGATTTTCCTAAGCTCCTCAGGATGCAGTAAAAGGGAGTGTTACAGAAGAGGCTTTCAATTTGCACTCCTGTGGGTTTAGAATGGTTTTTATTGCTTTATGGTTTGTTATAACATTGTCCTACAATTTTATACCTTTTATTGTTTTAGTCTACCTTTATATGAGATCACAGTAACCTCTGGGGCTTGTCCCTAAAGCTGCTGCTTTGTTGGTTTTTCATTATAGGCAAGATTGGTCTTGAAATATGTGAGTTATTTGTGTTCTTCACTATCTCTGCTTTCATTCCATTTCTGTCATTTTTAAAATGTGACATTTCTTCTCAGGTGACTGCTAGCCTACGTGAAAGACACTATCAAGAGAATTGGGGAGTATTGCTTGGAGAATAATCAATTGGTTAAAGTAATGAATTACAATGAAAAACCTGTCAAATAACTATAAGTGGGACAATGAAAGCAATTGCTTGAAGTTCTCAAACTAGGTACAATGTGAACACTTAAGATATAAGCTTGTTTTCAACATACACATATCCTTGAGAAGGCAGACATTATTTCAGGTTTGAGCTGTGCCCTGACAAATTCACTTATATTACACATTGGTCACTTCTTTGTTTGCTGTTGTGTTACCTACCTCTGCCTTATTGGCATCCGTTCTGCTTTTCTCTTACTTCCCTCTCATTGTTTAACCACCTCTGCAATTAAAAGGGTGGTCAGCAGCTAAATTCAAACACCAGTGAATGTTGCTGAAGAAGAAATAATCTCATTTCCTCATGCTGAAGAACTATCAATGTAGGTAGCCTCTTCTACCTTGAAAGAACCAAAAGCAATCCTGGTCAAATGCATCTTTTTGCGGGGAGAAATGTGGTAGCTGTTTAATAGCACACGAGAGGGTGAAATAAAATCCTTTGAAAGATGTCACTAAAGATTCTGAATCTGCCACTGGTGGCATTTTCCCATGGCTGTGAATCATAGCAGGAGTCTGGCTGGAAATTCTTTTGGACAAAATCCTGAGTCCAGGAAAGGGCTGTGATCCAAGTGATGACTTCTGTCCTCTCTGTGAGTTGGTCGTGCCTGCGCGCCTACATGGTTTTTAATAGCTCCTGCACACACCCTCTAACTAAATTTTTTGTGTCAAGATTCATCAAAAATAGGTTTACTGTGCAAATGTATAGAACCTTTACCTAGTAGTCATCATATTGTATGGCTTTATTATTATGTTAAAGATATTTAAATATAGATTCACTGATGGCTTTTGAATCTTACTTTTGTCTATCATATGTGAGACTAACAGAAGCTCAGAAGTGCTTTAAAACTTTATTCATATTAGGCATTTTGACTTCTTTGGTTTGTTGTGTGGCTAACTAACACAAGATTCTACACTTAAGAGTAGATGTTTATAATGTGACTATTAAAGTATTGGGACCTTCATTGTACCCTTCTTATGATGTACAGTTGTGGAAAGAACGTTTTTCAGATAGAAAAATTATTCACTGCACTGCTTTGGCTTTTTGTATCTCTGTTAAAGTTGAACTGGTAGTTTATCCCACAGTCTTACCCCAGTGATGTTTCAGTGTACAAAATTTTCCTCTGGTCTTGTCCACACAAGAAGCATCATCCATTTTCTTACAGGTAGTGACCAAAATATCCCCACCTGAACCAGCTGGGTGATTTCATAAAGTTGTTAATCTGTTATTGCTGGCAGCGATGGGTCTGTTGTAAGAAAACTTTGTCTACTCTGTTTTGCAGGAGAGGTTCAAATGTTTCACTCACACTGGATATGTGCACCCCAGGCTGCTCCGAGCAAGGCTTTGGCTATGTCATGTCCCCACGGGAACAGTCAGCCCGGGAATACCTCCAGACAGCCTCAAACATCCTGACTGAAGAGGAGCTGCACAAGAAGGCACTGGATCCTTTCATACTGCAGGCAGAGTTCTTTGTGAGTGTCTGGCCTCTCTATTCTAGGAGCCTCAATAAAAAGTGGAGGTTGTCTCTCCATAGAAGACCTTGGTATTATTTTCTGCCAGTCTAAAAGTAGTATACGCAAACTCCACTTCTGTCAGTGAAGCATTTCATACAATTCCCAAATTTATCATTCCTTTAAATTACAATGTCTGAAAGCTTTCAGTAGTATTGTCACTTAAAAACTATAGATTTGATTCTAGCAAAACCAACAACAAGAAGTAGTCTTTGTTTCACAAGATTTAGGTTGGGTTTTTTTTTTTTCTGAACAAGAAGTCTTTGTTTCACAAGATTTAGGTTGTGGGTTGTTTTTTTTTTTCTGATGTATATTGTCTTTTTAACAACAGCAACAAAAAATCACTAGAGTTCAGAAGAAAAGCCTCATTTGCTATAAGCATAACTTCTTGAAGTGTTTCTGGAGTTGCCCTAAAGATGAAATTAGTCCTAATCCACCCTCTTTGCTGCTGAATGCTTAATGTGGAGCTACTTTCCAAATCTAAATGTTCTCTGGTTACCTGAAACACAGTGTGGCTCTGTCATTCAGCAGGAGCTATAGAAAGTATATATTACTGGGGTTTTTCTCTGCACAAAAATAATTCACTAGTTGTAAACTTCTGAAGTTAATACTGCCATGTCAAATATTCTCTTAAGCTGAAATCTCAGCAGAGCAGAGGAAGATTGTTTTGCAACATGACAGCCCTTTCAACCTGTCCTCTTTGTGACTTCTAAGTGTCTGAAAAGGAAAGACCACTCTGATTATCATTTGCTGTCCTCCCTCCTTGCACAGGTTCGGGGGGTTTTTTGCCTTTATGAGAAGAGAGGGATACTCTGGGCTTCTGTTTCAAAGTAGAACACAAGGTATCTGTGGTCCTTAATTCCTTTAGTGCTGTACAAGTTGAAGGAAAGCAGCTTTTGTGTAGGCAAAGCCCTGATTTTTTTAAAGTATCTATTGCTCTTTTAGGGAAGGAATGTTCACTTGGTGTCTGGACTGCTGGACTAGTCCACATACAGTTTCACCACTCTTTGAGCTACTCTGTAGCTTTCAAGCAAAGAAAATAATGTTAGATGCAGGAAAAAACACACTTCATTTGTCTGAGAGATTTTGAATTAGATTTCCTCGTGTTCATAGAATCATCCAGCAGCCAAGCCATCCCAAACTATTTTCATTCTCTAATGAAAACTGAAAGAGCACAAAATGCTGTGCAATCAAAATGTCATATCTGTAATTAAAAATTGTAAACTAGTTCTTTTATGAAACAGTTACCACCAGCTAGCTCTTCATCATGTGTTTTCACTCTAACTTACTTGGTTTTCAAAGTCCTAAACCCAGATGAAGCAAGAAGTTGTTTCATTTTGCAAGAAAAGCCAGGGAGCACATTAACAAGGCTAAATTTTGAAATTCATATAAGATTTAGAGTTTTTACTCATATAGCAGTCCTGTTGATTTCACCAAGAGTTGGCTTGTGCAGTGAATGACTTAAGACCCAAAACAGCCCATGGAGCTTGGCTCGGGAAGAGTTTGGGTTGACTAAATACCAAGGAACAATTGAGAAAAATATGAAGATTTTGTTCCTATGCAGTTCTCAAAATTGATAGAAAATTACTTCAACAAAACATTTTTGTCCTTATTTGCCTTTGGTTAGAGCCAAGTGTGCCAAGTGCTTTGCAAGTGGTGGAGTGTAGATAGTCATTTCTAAAGTTCCAGAACTGACCTCAAGTTGCTCCAGGGTGGTTTAGATTGGATATTAGGAAAAAGTTATTCCCTGAAAGGATGAAGCACTAGAACAGGCTGTCTGAGGAAGTGGTAGAATCACCATCCATGAAAGTGTTTGTAAACATGTGTATGTGGCACTTAGGTACCTGGTTTAGCAGTAAACATGGAGGTGCTAGGTGAAAGGTTTGACTCGATGATCATTTTCAGCCTTAATAATTCTCCGTTTCTGTAGTCCATAGCTCTGCTCATCTTAAATTTCCCCCTTACTTGCCTTACTCAGCTGTTCCCAGTCTGTCCTGTAGTGGTCTCTCAAATCCAGGGTGCAGCAGCTGGGATGACCAGCTCTGCCTCCTGGTTCCTGCGAGCCATTTCTCTGCTGAGCGTGGTTAACATATCCCTTCTCTTCATCTGGCTTTCTACTCCAGCTGCTGGAAGGCTCCTGTTTGTTCCCACCTGGCATTAGCCCCTTATTGCAGAGGATGAGCAGTGGGGAATAGGAAGCCCCTCCCTCTTCCTGTGTTCTTTGCAGGGATAGAGAGTGCAGGCAATCCCTGAATACCCCTTTGCTGTCCTTTTCCATGGAGCTTGGCAGCACGATGAGCAAAGCAGTGACGCTCTTGCAGCTCCATGGAGTCAGGGCAGCGCACCAGCCTGTCATCATGTGTGTCATACTTTGTTGCTGGTGCAAGTCCCCAGCAAATTATTAACTTCCACCCTCAGAGAGGAAGCGATGTGAGTCAGAAAGGATGGTCCATCCTCTTGGAGCAGTGTCTTGCGTTCCACCTCTTGCATCGCTCAGTGCCTACACTTGCAATTCAGTTCTAATAATATTAGGAGTGAATATGTCATGCGTGTTACTCAATGAATTAGTCACCAGGAGCATTTTCACATGAAGGATTTCAGAAAAGAAAGCCAGTGACAGAAAAAGGAAACATCAATCATACTTTGGTGGTAAGTTGCTAGAGGTACTGTACAATATGTCCCAGCTGACTTCATCACTTTGCCTCCCTCACAGGGAGGACATAATCGGCTTGGGGTTTTTATACCTCCTGTGAATCTAATAATACTACTGACTGTCTCTTATGTTTTTGTGGGTTTTTTTGTTTTTGTTTTTTTTAACAGGAAATTCCAATGAACTTTGTTGATCCAAAGGAATATGATATTCCAGGCCTAGTGCGTAAGAATCGCTACAAAACAATTCTCCCAAGTAAGTTTCTACTTTTTAAGTCATTGAGGCAGGGTGGTTTATTCCACAGGCTGGAAGGCTTTGCATTTTCCTTCCCAGAGTGCATGAAGTGTACCATCACCACCATGTATTGTCCAAAAGCCATGTTTATGGAGACGCAGCATAGGCTCAAAGCATAAATCAAACTTCCACAGAGGTACAGAGCATGAAGAACTGAAATGCTACTGATCCTCAGGGAAACATAGGTTTTTTTTTTAGTTATTAGAATTGCATCATTTGGTGCTGCTTAAAAGTTGTTACCCAAGAACTTAGTCTATTATGATGTTAGTGATTTCTTGGATTAAATTTCTTTTGAAAGACCAAATTCTAGCAGCATTATTTTCCTGACTGATGTTTTTTCAAATGCAGACTGAGAATATTGGGAACTGGCCTGATGGCATTAAGATGAAACAGAAAATTATTTTTCTTTTCTATTACACAGTTTTATTTGTAGGCAGAGGTAGGAGTTTTGAGAAAAAAATTGGTACAAATTTTTACAAGCGTCATCATTTTTCCCTCTCTCATACTTTCAGATATTTTGAAAAGTGATGCAATTGGATGTCATGCCTTTTTTTTTCTCTCTAAGCTGTTGTTGGGAGATGGTATCACCACTACAGTAGTCTTTTGCAAAATGTCAAATGTCAGGTTAGCAAATATAAGTGCCGTGAAGTCAAAAATGTCCTCAGCTATATCTAATAATCAATGAATCCAGATTGAAAACGGTTTTAAAAAAGATTATTTTAATGTCTTCGAACTCCAGCAACTGCAGCCTGATGTGTGAAACTCTTTTGATGACTTTGTACTCTACCTCAGACCAGAAGTGTAAAAGCATTTAGCCTTTCACTGTTGATGTGCTAATGGTTGAGGTGATTCATTCAAGTATTAATTTGCTGGTTTTGCTGCAACAGGAAGATTGCAAAAGTGAATATTGATTGCAGATGCCCAAGGTGCCAGATCTCTAAATGATCTGTATATTCTGTATTTGGTATCTCTTTATCTCAGCCATATGGGTATCTGCCAGCAGCCACTGTTGTTACTTTGACCTCTTCATCTCAGATAATTCACTCAACCATCTCTCTAAATGTTAACAACTTTATTCTGGCCATATGATCTGAGCTTTTTTTTTCTGAATGAGCTTTTAGCAACTTTGTCCTTGACTGTGGCCACAGGATGGCTTGATGTTGCTGAGAAAAGGAAAGGGCTGAGTGCTCACTCTTGTCCCGCGGACTCCATTTCACAAGGCTTGGTGCTGGCAGTGAAGAAGAAAGGGTAGAAAGGAGACCTAAACATTCTCTTTACACTTCAAAGCCATAGATCCCAGGAAACATGAATCTGGTCTATTTGAGGACAGCATTTCATGCTGACTCTGTGTTTGTAGTACTCTACAAATCACTGTGTACTTTGTCCTTAATATGATATTGGGTAAAGCACAATTTTTGCATAAGTTTCATTTTATTCTTCTTTCTAAACCAGCTAAAGTTTTTTATGAAAAAGGCACCTGTGGTTTGTTTTTAATATTGTCTTTGTCATATACACTGTTGCTGTTTGCTGAGGCCTCTGTCAGGAGGATGTTTCTTGTCAATGGTAACAAACTGGGTAGCACTGGTCAAAGTGGGCCTGTGTCTGGTCCCTTTAAAATCAGTGAAGCAGCCATTGACTTCAGTAGGAATTGGTCTGAACTTCTTAAGTGGAATAATGTTTTCTTTTGTCATCTTATTAGAACAAGAATAATGCTTCATAAACAGCCTCAATGAAGGAGACTCAAGTACTGAAGAGACTTAAAATGCAAGAGACTGTTAATATTCTTTAATTTCTCTATAGCCATTATATTTGTTAATAGAACATCTTGGAGTGTGGTTAATTGCAAGATGAAACTGGGGAGGAGTTATTGTCATCTGGCTTGCCTGGGTGCAAAAAATGCATGTTTATGTTTTGGTAGAAAAGCTCTTTGCTGTCATTTCACAAACAATATTCTAATGTCTTTGAAGCCAGAATGAGCCTGTTGACCTAACAGATTGAGAAATAATTTCCTGTAGCAGAAAACTGCTTTTCCAGAGTCATGCTGAGACACTGACTCAGGAACAATTAGGGCAGGCTTCAGAGAGTGGATGAAACTGTCAGAACGCTGCAAATTACCCCAACCATCCTTTCACTTTTTTTAATGGTCTTAACATGGGGGTTGTCTAAGGCTACTCACATCTGCTGTGATGGCCATGAATGCATGTGAATGTCTTGCTCTACTAAATAATCTTGTGTGTCACCTTCCTCTGATAAACTATTCCTTATCTCCTTACACCTTTCAGATCCTCACAGCAGAGTGTGCCTTACCTCAGCTGATCAGGACGACCCCCTCAGCTCTTACATCAATGCTAACTACATCAGGGTAAGAGCTCCATAGCCCGGTGTGTCTGCCCACCCTCTGTCAGCCACTGTTAATGTAAACAGAATTGCCATGCACACTGGCTTTTACATTCAGCATCCTAGCTGATCTGATTGCTCTTCTCTCCTGCTTACATTAGCTGAAACACAAATCTCAAAGTGCACCTGTACAGATTCAGACTGAAAAAAACATACTTCTGCAGTTCTTGATGCAAAATTCCTTGTCAGCTAGCCTAACCAAGGCACTGGATAATCAGCCTGAATAAGGCTCATGACCTAGCCAGTCACCTCAAGGCTGTAGGACACTCTTTGCTGGAATTCCGTGAGTCTGCACTGTGCCTTTGCTCCATGTACACATGTGCAGGAGAGAGACGGAGAGGAGAGCTGGTGCCACAGAGTCAGCATTTCATCCAGGATAGCTCTCTGGTTTTTTAAGAGCAAACCTTCAAGGTTATGGTGAACACCGCTGTTAAAGCTGATCTCTTGTTCTTTTGTTGGCAGGGCTATGGAGGAGAGGAAAAGGTATATATTGCTACTCAGGGACCGATAGTTAATACTGTCACTGACTTCTGGAGAATGGTGTGGCAGGAGCGTTCTCCCATCATTGTCATGATTACCAATATAGAAGAGATGAATGAGGTAATGCTGGTACATCCAGTCTATATTTTTATCTCTACTCCAACAGTTATTTTCAGCATAGACACTAAGCCAGCAAACAGAAGTTAGTTCAGTGGCCTGTGCAATCATAGCCAGCATTAAATTCTTCAGGCTCAGAGAAGATGTGGGCTTCTCCTTCGCTTCAGTTTACTGTGAGTCTTGTTTTGCTGTCTGACTTCTCCTACTGTTGGTTTTGCCATTTTCCTCTCCCAGCTGACCTGAAACCCCTCCTTACCCAGCTCTATTTGCAGGCAGCTTATGAAGTTCTTTCTGAAGGAATCAAAAGCAATAGTACCCCATAACTGCTAAGGCTGAATATCTTCAATCAGTAGAGTTGCTGCTGCTTTATCTTGCATTTATTATGATTTGATGTCTACATGCACATTTCATTGAGGAAGTACCTGATTTCTGTATGATAATCAACAACTAGAACTGGCTCAGACATTGAGGACCTTCCCCTGAACGTGTCTAGGGAATGCTTATGAAATACTGAAATTAAGGTGCTGAAATTTTCTATTTGCCACCTACCTCCATAAATTAAACTATAGTGATGTTTGTGCTAATCCACCTAAAGTGAATTCTTCTTTTTTTTGCAGTTTGTAATACTGCAGCCCTCCATCTGTTCATTACTTACCTGCTGAACTCTTTCCCCCATAGCAGAGTTGCAAGAACTTTGTGCCTGGGCTTCAGCTCACAGACAGGTAGCTGAGCTCACATCTGCCTTTATTGGCAGTGTAAGATGTGAGAAAGTGGTCTGGGCATGTGTTGGGCTCTGCATCCTCCTCCACCACTAAGGAGCAAGGCTGGATGGAGATATCCAAATGTTGTTTCTGAAGCTGCAGCACCATTGTATGTCAGACTTTTCCTTGAGAACAAATTAGTAATTTAGGTTAGAGGTTTTTATTTGGAGAAGAAGCTTTAGATGCTTAGAAGCCAAAGAATATGGGCATACGTCCAGCATACAGACAGAGTTGTAATGGCTTATCTGCTAGCTGGAAGCTTAATGCTCACAATCATCACGTGCACAAACCTTTAGCTTTTCATAGATATAAGATAAATATGTTCATGTATTTTTTCAACTTCATTGAAAAAAGACATGAACAAGACTGACACAGAATTATGACGCTTTGCAAGTTAAAAATGGTCAGTTATTACAGCTGGCTCATTGGAAACATCCTGTCAAGGATTGCTGATGCAAAACAATGAATTATGTTGCTGATCTGAATGCTTTGTTTTCACTCAGGTTTTAAATTTGCACCTGTCTGTATCTGAGCAGCAGCACTGAAGCAATAACTTGCTCATTAATCAAAGTTGCCATTTTCTGACACATTAAAATATCGTGACATAGTCAGGGCACCAGAATCTTTTGCAGACTTTGAGATTTAAAGAAGATGCAGAAGAAATGCTGGTCCTGAATGACATGTCTGAAATTTTCTTCAACTATAATTTTCATAACAAGATTGTATAACAGGAAGGCAAAATAACCTTTATGTCTGGATTGCCTCCTACCTGCACTGACCAAGTGTTTCAACCCTCTTACCAGTCTTGGGAAGCAGTGCACTGCAGTGCTGATGCACTATAGAACTGAAGCTTGCTACAGCCTGTATATCACAACAGAGCTGCTGAGTCTTTCCTGGTAAATTTTGTGTCAAAATGTGTCAATGACAACAATCTCAGCCATAAATACAAGGTCCTTCCATATAAACGTTGTCTATACTCACTCCATTTATCTGCAACACTTTTATTAATAGATAAATAACAGGACTCAAAGTACATAGTTTCAAACCGAAAAGTTCTGTTCAGCAATGATGCTAGTAAGAGAGACTTTGTATTCTTCCTCAGTGCAATGGCTTCACTAATATGAGTATTAAAAGCTCTGTACCTCAGCCCTCTGTCACTTCTAATCTGAACTGACAGACAGCCCCCAGAAGTGAGTGGGCAATCTTACTCCACTCCTGTAAGCAGAGCGGTGTCTGTGCTATTGATAGCTGGTAGTGCTCTTGACAACTTTTGCAGTGGATTTTGCAGTTTATGAGTAGAGGAAGAAAAAACACAATCTGCATAAATAACTTTACAGAGACACAGTGGGCCACGCTCCCAGTGGGTTATTAACTGATGTACTGTGCAGATGGAACAACACTGATTCTCCCACACAAAAATTTTGACTCAGTAACTTTGCAAGATACTTTTCTGTTGTTAGTCTTTCTCCTCAAGTGGAATTACGTTTGGTGGGGGAGAGAAAAATGATTCAACTTGTTTCCTCCAAGATTGTGTACAGCTGTGTAAAAGCAGAATCTTACTAGCATCATCTTTACTGAGGTTTGTTGAATAGCAGATACCTGCTCTCCCGTGATAATGAAATAGCTTCTTGCATTATCACAAGGGAGCCTTTTTCTCAGACTGTGCCTGATTCATGTCATTCCTTGCCCATGGACTAATTTGTGCACCATATTGAAATGCCTGTCTCTGCCTTTGCATATTGATTAATTTAGAGAAACTAAATACAAAACCACAGTCCTTTTTAGCCCTCCTTCCAGGATCAGAGGCACCTACAAATTTGCTCTGGCTCATCTCTAGTGTATCACTACCACAGAGTAGATCTCCAAATGGACTATAGTTTCTGTATTTTCAAGTGTTAGTTTGTGCTGGCTGTACCTTTTACTGGTTTTTGGCAAAATCAAATGTAGTAGTCCAATCCGTCTCACAGCTACTGCTGCCTTTTAGTTCCCTATCTTTGAAAGATTCTCACTGACATTTTTAAGTGGATTTTGGTACATAATCTATTTTCCCAATCATCCCCAGTCATGTTATTTTGTGCAAAAACATATGCAAACGATCATTTTATATTCAGAGAGCATTGAGCCATTATAAAAAATAGAAAAGCTGTATTTTGTGTTTCTACATCAGTATATATGCAGCACAGATATATTGGTAACTAGTGTATATTATACTAATCATTATTATCTCAAGAAAAAGATTAATTTTAAAACACAAGCACATTGCCACCAGTCTCTCTAATGAACCTTCAAAATGCACATCAGTTGCATAAAGATAAATAAGGATGTGTGTATTTAAAAGCATTGGTTAGTAATTACTTGATTTGTGCATTTTTAATCAAGCAATCAGGCTATTATGGATGCAGCAAAAATCAGCTGAAATGTGGTCCCTGTTTAGTAAGTGAAAGCTTGTACTTATTATAGAAATGAAATTTATTCATATTCATCTATGCATGTGTTGTATTCAATTTCAGAAGAGAAAAAAGCTGAGCCTCCCTTGATACCTGCTTAACTGGATTTGTTTTATATTGCACACAGAAATGCACAGAATATTGGCCAGAGGAACAGGTCACCTATGAAGGAATAGAAATCACAGTTAACAGAGTCATACAAGCAGACGATTACCGTTTAAGGCTCATCACCCTAAAGGTAAATCATTCCAATGTACTTACAGTAGCTTAGCTGTCTAAACCTATAAATGCGGATGTTCAGGGGGAGTTGTGTAGAAAGCTTCTGCACAGTGTAGTGCTGGAAAAACACCCCTTTTCATTACTGAAGTCATCGTAGCTTTGCCCAGTTCACCAGAATGAAAGTTACAAGAAAATAAGCAGTCAGAGGTTTAGGCTGCATGTGTACAGTCTGAAAGCCACCAGGCCAGTTGCAGTAGTATGGGGTTCACTGGGTAAGAAACCAGTGACTCATTCTGTGCTTTCATCCTCTGGGTTCATTGATCAGTTAAAATGAAATGTCAGCTCACAGAGAGCTTCTTACTTTGCAAGGGTAGTTTTATATACCAGTAACCATTCTATAATCTTGTGGATAGAAAGTTTTAGCACAGGTTTAATTTTTTAAGTACTTAGATACTACTTAACCTAAAGTCCCAGAGTCTTATTTTTCAACTCTTTTCATTGCTAGGTTCTAGAATATCAAGCTATGTGTTTTAGTAACAGTCTGTTTATATAAACTTCATACGTTTTTCATCTGCCAGATCTACCCTGGCCTCAGTATAACATGGCAAGTTCTTCTCAAGCTGGAAAAACTCCCCTTTTATCCAACCAGTTTCAAGTCTCTTCAGCCATAAGCTAATGGGCAGAAAGCCAGCATATGACATCCCATGTCTGGATTCAGAGTGTAGAAAGTCTGTCACTCATGCTTTTGGCAAAGGCAGCAAGGAGAAAATCACACTCCCTGACAAGTGGGAAGTGAAGAATATCTACATGTTGCAGACTTGCAGCTCATCTGGTTTTGCTTTTCAGTTAGACAGTGGTTTTGTTTTCAGTACTAGTGGGTCAATATCTCTTCCCTTCACCCCCCAAATGTCAGAATGTGAACCGCTGAGTTCTAGAGCTGAAATAAAGATTCCATTTAAGTTACCTTTCCCTACATCTGTGCATTTGACATTTAATGGCAATAGAGAAGCAGCAGTTCTGAGCCTTGCATACATTAAGTGACTTGCTAGTGAAAACTGGAAAAGCAATGAATTGACTTCAGTTTGCCCTTAAACAGGAGTGTTCAGAAATGTGTTATTACTACATGCTTTACAGAGTCGACTGTCATTTTTCTCTCCATATAGGGGATAAGATTTGTCAGGTTTTGGGAATTTAGAAAAAGCTCAGGCTAGAGGCAAGGCTTGTTTTCCGTTCTCAGAGAAAGTTTCCAGTGTCTAGCCACTGAGTCATGATTTCAGCTGCAGAATACATGTTGGTAGACTTCAAACTGTCTGTTAAATCTTGCTTCCTCCTAGCTGTTCCCAAGTCTTCTCACTCTCAAGGAACCATCTATAGAGAATATTTTGTTCAAGTCAAAGCAGAAGTGTACAGAACCACAGAAGTCAGGCATATGCCAAGCAGAGGCATAAAACTTTTAACACAGCAGACTAAACTAAAGGCATCCAGAGTTCATCAGTAGAACTTTGTCTGTTTTCCGTTGCTGTCAACTAAATGATTTATGTAGTGATTCATGTTTTTCTTCAGATGACTTTTACTTTTCTCTCTGTGTTATTGACAACATTTTTATTATAATTTTTCACAACTGAGTTAAGAATTGGGTGTTCATAACTTCTGTGACTCAGACATAGTCATACATTCAAAAGCAACTGTGTTTCAGAGCAGTGTTGATCAGAGTAGTGAGCTTGAGTGTTATTCATGATAACTAGTTATGCTCTCTTAAACAAAGTATTTTCTCCCTAGGATAAATAACCTAAGGCCAGACTTTGTGCTATGATAGTAAGACACTCTGTTCCTGAAGTGAGCTAGACACGGCCTTAAGGATCCTGTGGCTATGCTTCAGTGAGCACTTTAAACCCAGTGTAAGATGGAACAACATCTGAATGAAGCCCAGCCTCCCTTTGTCCAGCTCTCTTGTTCTGACCCTTGTTCCATCTCCCATGTGCCCTCACAAGTGTTTGTGACTATGTGTCAAGCCAAAGGGAGAAACGGATCCATCTGAAAATTAATCCATCTCAAGAAAGGAAAAAGATTTAACGTGATTGCTTTCCCAATCTAGTTCACTGTGAAGCTGTGCAAAAGCTCTGTCATCCAAAGAGAAGGATGGAAAATGCACAACCACAGAATACTCTTAGCATCCAGTGACTGACAAGTATAAGGTGGGGCTTGGGAGCGTACATGACAGAAACTATTTTCAGATTTTTGTGCCTTGTTCTTCAGAAAAAGTTATATTTGTCTTTTTCTCTCTTCAACTCAGCTAGCCATGGTTTGAAGGGAGGATTGTGGAAGCTAACACTTGTTCTTGGACCTTTTGCAAACATTTACTTTGCCCTGTGCCAGCTGGCTTGTGCAATGGCTGCAGGGGTAAGGCCAGTTCCCTGGGCACCATGTTACTATTTTGCACCTTTAGAAATCAGACAGAAGGATATCAGTCTGAACATACAAAATCAGAAGCTCACAGTGCTACTTGGCACTCCAAAAAGGAAACAGCACATTTGCTATATTCATAACCATGCTGAGACAGAGAATCAGAATTTGTGTCTCTCAAAAAGACCTGGACTGCAGCTAGATACAATTCCCACCTTCCATACTGCCTCAGAATTTCTCACCATGTCTAAGAGAAAAGTAGAATTGACAGGAGACCAATATAAGTCGGTCTGTCAGAAGAGATAGAAAAATAAGCTCCCATCTCTCTCCCTCATCTATTTATCTAGCTATCAGAGACAGAGATATGGCTCCTGGCTCTCTGTCTGTCAAATACATTATGAAAGCAATTATGTCACAAGCACAGCTCTGGCTTTGCTGAATGAATCTGTCAAGAGGGAACAGACTGCCTGGAGTGTTTTGCACACAGCTCTTGGCACTAAAAGAGCAGAATACTTTGTGGGGGGAGGAATTTTTTTTTTTTTTTCCCTTGTAAAAAAAAAAAAAAAAACCAGTTTACCGAAGTGCAGTCATGATATTTGAAGTCCAGATTTTTGTGTTATGTGGCTTCCCATTTGGATTTCTGTTCCATTTAGCATTCACATAATGGTTGGGGTTGGAAGGGACCACTGGAAATAATCTGGTCCAACCTGCCTGCTACAAGTTCCCTTAAAGCAGGTTGCATGTGCTTGTGTCCAGGTGAGTCTTGAATATTCCAGAGAAAAAGATTCCACAAACTCTCTGGACAACTGTTTCAGTGCTCTGTCACCCTCAAAAAATTTCTCCTTGTATTCAGATGGAACTGAATACGTTCATTTTCTGTGTTTCAGTTTGTGGCCCTTGCCCTTGTCCTGTAGCCAAGCACTACTGAAAAGAGCCTTGACCTATCCTCTTGACACCCTCCCTTCAGATACTTACAGATTTTGATATGGTGCCCTCTCAGTTGTTTCCTCCAAGCTAAACAGGCCCACCATCTCCCTCTAAGTGAGGTGTTCCAGTGTCCTAATCATCTTCATGGGCCCTCCACTGGACCCTCTCCAGTAGTGCCTTGTCTCTCTTGAGGGTGGGGAGTCCTGAACTGGACACAGCACTCCAGGTGAGTCAAGTGCCCCCTCTCTAGAGCTGAGTAGAGAGGCAGGATCACCACTCACAACCTGACAGCACTGCTTTTCTTTATGCACCACGGAATACCTTTGGCCTCCTTGGCCACAAGGGCACTGCTGGCTCGTGGGCAGTTCATTGTCCACCAGGTCCTTCTCCACAAGGCTGCTTTCCAGCTGGTCAGCCCCCACACTGTACTGGTGCTTGGGGTTATTCTTCTCCACGTGTAGGACCCTGTGCTTGCCCGTGTTGGACTTCATCAGTTCCTCTCTGTCCAGGTCTCCAGCCTGCCCAGGTCTCAAGGAACAGCAGCACAGCTTTCTGGTGTGTCAGCCACTCCTCCTAGTTTTGTATCATCATTAAGAAAAGTGCTGTGGGTACTCTTTGCCCCTTCATCCAGGTCATTGATGAGTAAACTGAACAGTGCTGAACCCAGTACTGGTCTCAGGGGAAGGCCACAGGCTATGGGCCTTCAAGTGGGCTCTTTGCTGCAGATCACAGCCCTCTGAACCCATTCAGCCAGTTTTCAATACATCTCACTGTCCTCTCATCTAACCTATGTTTTCTGAGCTTACCTCATGAGGAGGTTAGAGGAGACAGGGTCAAAAGCTCTGCTGAAGTCAAGATAGACAATATTCCTGCTCTCCCATCATCCACCCAGCCAGTCATGCGGTCACAGGAACCTTTCAGACTGGTCAAGCATGAATTCCCCTTGGAAAATCCATGTTGAATACTCCAAATAACCTTCTTTTCTTCTACATATTTAGAGGTGATATGCAGGGTGAACTATTCAATTGCCATTTTAGGGATGGAACTGAGGCTGACTGATGTGTAGCCCCCTGGGTCCTCCCTCTTGCCATCTTTTTGAAGACTGGAGTGGCATTGGTTTTTCTTCAGTCTTCAGGCACCTTCCCTTTTCTCCATGATCTTTCCAAGATGATCAGCAGATGTTACTCAGCAGTATCATCTGCCTGCTCCCTCAGCACTCATGGATAGATCCCATTGGGGCCCATGGATCTGTGGGTTTCAGGTTTACCTAAATGCCTTCTAACCCAGTGTTTATCAACCAAAGAAAAGTTGTCTTTTTCTCCAGAATTTCTTGTCCTCAAGGTCTGGGATTCCTGCTGGCCAGCACTGGCAATGAAGAGTGAAAAAAAGAAGGCATTCAGTAACTCTGCCTTCTCTGTATCCTCCACCACCAGGGCTCCCACCTCATTCAGCAGTGGGGCTACATTTTACCTGCTCTTCCTTTTGAACTGATGCAACTGAAGAAACCCTTCTTGTTGTCCTTGACATCCCTTGCCAGATTTAATTCCAAGTGGGCCTTAACCTTTCTTGTCACATCTCTGCATACTTTGACAACATTCCTCCCAAGTGCCATGTCCCTTTTTCCATATTCCATAAATTTCCTTCTTGTAGATTTTTGGGTTTTGCTTGGAGTTTGTTTGTTTGTTTGTTTTGGGGTTTGGGTTTTTTGGTTGTTTTTTGTTTGTTTGGTTTTTTTTTTTGCCAGAAGCTTCATAATTATCCATGCATGGCTCCTGCCCTCTTTGCATGATTTCTTACCCAGAGGCATGCACTGAATTGAGCTTGGAGGAAGTGATGCTTGAATATTTACAAGTTGTCTTGGATTCACTGTCTTCTAGAGCCTTAACTCAAGGGATTCCTGAAATTAAGTCCTTGAAGGAATCAAAGTTATGTCTTCCAAAGTTCAGACTTATAATCCTACTTACTGCCCTTGCTCCTTCCATGTAGGATCCTTCACCATTTCTTGGTCACTGCAGCCAAGGCTGCCCCCAGCCTTCAGGTGCCCAACCATGTACTTAACGCAAGGTCACCTCTCCTTGTTGGCTCCTCCACCGTCTGTGTCAAAAAGATCTCATCAGTGCTCTGCAGCAATCTCTGGACTGTGTGTGCCCAGCCATCTTGTGTTTCCAGCAGATTGATTTAATCTTCTCAGTCTTAAAGGGAAGGCCATGTTTCAGCATCAATTTTACAATGAGAAGTTCTTGTAAAACTGTTGTGGTGTTTGTCTTAACTGGATTGCAGAAAGGAGAAGAAGTCAGAAACCTGAAACATTACTGGTATACGTCTTGGCCAGACCAGAAGACACCAGACCAGGCCCCTCCTCTGCTACAGCTAGTACTGGAAGTGGAAGAGGCCATGCAGAGCTCAGAGGAGAAGAATGCCCCAATGATTGTTCACTGCAGGTAAATAAATGTTGTGTCTGAATTCCAAGGGCTTCTTCGCATACAGTGACGCAGTGCAGGTTGCCACACGGGCCATCAGTCACACGTGTGAAATCTTGCCCAATTGCTTCTGAAATGTGCTTGGAACTCCAAAGCTTTAATGACAATTATTTTCTATACCAAGTGTTCAGATACAGGCTGAGTTGAACATAAAAGCTGGCAGTGGCTCAGTTACTTGTAAGAATAATTTCATTTCATTTGCCTTACCAGTAATACATGCCTTTAATTATCTTTGAAAGGTTGGTTAGCAGAGATTAACATATGTTAAGTGAAATTGAGTAGGAAAACCCATGCAAGCAGACATATAATAGTATTAAATTTTAAGCATCAAACCCCCTGTTTTGTAGGTTCCTTCTTTGCTTTTTTAAAAATAAATCATTATTAGGCCAAAGACAATAATTTAAATATAACACATAAATGAAAGAGTGACAAAGCCTGTTACAGCAAGTACTAATTAATAGTCAGGAAATGTATGCAGTTGATGGTAAAACTGAAGTATTAGTAAGAATCCCTGGCAAAGATGAGAATTTCTTATATGGAAGGAGCACAATCTTTACAGCAGTTTGATGCCTGATGAAAAAATTGTAATTATCAATCAGAGCAGAATAAAAATAGATGAAGATAGATACTTCTCCTCTGTCCTCAGAAAGAAGTGGGATGATGTACTTATCATTTGTAGACATGATGAACTATGTTCTTTGGCACTGCTATCTAGGGAGTGTGTTAAGCATCAGCAACCGCTATTAAATCAGATATGCTAGTTGATTTTCACCCAAGAGTGGTTTAAAAAAGTTGGTTCACGCACTCTAAACCATCAAAGTTTAGTATAGATGAATTAGAGTTCTTGGAAAATTGGAGAAGTTCCAGAGGTCTAAAAGGAAGCCCTGTTTTGCCAGTGTTTAGGAAGGTTAAATGTGATTATTTGAAAACTACAGTCTGTTCTCAAAACGGTTGTTCCAGGTAAATAGCAGAAAGCCTGATAAGAGATGCAGTTTATCTTGCCAGGATAATCTTCCATCATTTCAATAACATACATTTTGCCAAATTTATTTTTGTATGGAATATTGCTTAATTTTGCATAATGTTTTCTAGGAAACAGCAGATGGTTGCTCTCCAAAATCCACAGTAAATGGGTATTATACAATGAGAATGTTTTTATAGAGTCTCTTGGCAGAAATGGTTGGTAGCCTGGTGTCATCACAGATCCGACTGTAAGCTAATGTGGAGTAATCACTATTAAAATGCTCGTGTGATACCACATGTCCAGTTTTTCTGCCTGTGTTTTAAAACAGAGGTTGGAAAAATTTAGGTGAGTTCAGATGAAAATAAGAAATGGTTTGTAAGGAGGTCCTCTTTGTCCATGGAAATTTGTGACTCTCTCGGAGCTCCTTGAAGAACTATATGGTATCTGCTGCTGGTTACCATCTCACTCTTGCTTTGCATATTTGTTCTGTCCTCTTGTATTTTGTCATCCCCGTGACACTGTAACAGTCTGGGGAGAAATGGAACATTTTTATTTGAAAAAATACTAAGAGACAAGGAGATAGGATTATGATGTGTTCTGTATGGATAATGTGCCACCCAATGCTGTCTCAGCCACTGAGAGACCTGCAGCTTGTCCTGCAGGTCTTTATCTAAAAATGGGTGTTGTTCCCTCCCTTTGTAAAACACTGAGGTGACTGGACAGTAAACAGTATCAGGAGCTGTGTGCTGTGGTCTGTTTGGTTATGGTCAAGTGGAAGATGAAGGATTTGTGGGCAGCTGTGAACCATGAACTCCAATGTTGCTTGAATGTTTCTTGCCAGCGGTCTTGCATTACGATTTTCTCACAATGTAAATGAAAGCAGGATTTCCTGTAGTTGTGTCAAGTAATTATTCCTGAGTATGTTCACTTAATTATTTCATGCATAAGAAGGGCTTCCAGCATTTGCTGGCAGTTTGTTAGGTAATGAGAAGAATTCACAGCTTCTGTAGCACTCTGCCTTTGAAAATAAATTCAGTTCTGGTCAGATACAAAAGAGTTCAGGAAAATTTTAAGAACTTTTTTTGATAGTGAATTTGTTGTATTCTGCTCTAATTCAAATTACTAGATTTCAGGTCTGATCAGAAAATGGCATCACACTTACTATACCACTGTTAGCTCTAATTATTTAAGCAAGAGTTGGGTTTTTTTTCGCTCTAGCTGTGAATGAAAATAGCTTCAAAGAAGCTGTTAAAATTGATAATTTCAAAGCAAAGTTTGCCTTCAAAGCAAGGCTTGCTGTCCAACCAAATCTTACTAAGAAATGCAGAAGCTTTTTTTCAATGGTTCAGTGAGAGGTTCAACAACATATTGGTTCAATGAGTCTCCAGTAGTTCATTTTTAGCACTGTATCTGCAATGTTCACCCTTCTGCTGTGAGTAGCTCACACTTAATCATGTCATCCAGCAAAGCTGGTATCTTTTCCTAGTTACAGCTTTCCATCTGGAAGCACCCAGCTGGCAAAGGTCAGAGGGACAAAAGGTATGGTGGGGTCTGTGCTGCTTTAGTGGCAATTGCTGGACAGAAAAGTTCCAAAATCCTTCTGACATCTCCACTGCCTCTCTCTGCTCTTCCCTTCCTTAGTGCAGGCATCGGGAGGACTGGTTGCTTTATTGCCACAAGTGTCTGCTGTAAACAGCTGAGGAACGAGGGCATAGTTGACATTTTGCGAACAGCCTGCCAGTTACGGTTAGACAGGTAAGAAAGCCTGCTTCCTTTCCAGAAGAATAAAAAGCAAAAATGGTAATAGTTCCCCTTATTTAAGGAGAAGAATGTAAGAGGAGAAGAACAAACCGAAGTGGAGGCCAGGAAAGAACATTCCTCTGACTTTTAATCTTTGCCTGAGCAGTAAACCTTGCTGAACAGCCCTGGAGCTGGTTTAGGTTCACGGCTGGCATCAAAGTCTGCACAGCTGTCCATCTCCATAAAGCAAGGGGCGACCTTTTACCAGCTGGGGAGTTGGCCCCATGTGTTCACACAGAAGCAAAGGCTCAAAGATCTGCTGTACTTCAGTTCAGAGCCACATATCATCACTTTTCTCCCAGAAGGAGTAATGAAAATTTATCTCATATACTGGAGCTGTGGGCCATGGTGGGAGAGACGTTGCCTGGGGAAGGAGAGTGCACAACCTGGAGTGTTTGCAGACATATGAAAGGAGCTGTGAAAATCTCCACAAATTCAATGGTTTCCAGTTAAGCATTTCTTAACACACCACCTTGAGTTTGATTATTAAGTAAACAGACTTGAATTTTGTACCAGAGATGTTATTTTTCCTCTCCCACTGGTTTCAAGTGCCATCAAAACATGTCTCAGTGCTCTCTCTAATGATAATGATAAATGTAGTCGGGGGAAGAGATGTCACGAAAAACATACCAAAGATTTTTCTGAGGGAAAAAAAAGAACCTCAACCCCACGCTGAACTTTATTTCAGAGAAGAAATTATGCTCAGTGGGAGGCAAAAAATGAAATGCTTGCTGCCCTGCTGAGGCTCTGATAGACAGGGACCTGCAGGGGCTTAGAGATTTGGCTGTTTCAGTGGAATCTAGCCAGACAAGGGAAGGCTTCTTGAGAAAAAGAAAACCAGATTATGAATAGTGAGTGCTGATTATCCATGGTCCAGTTAAATATCTGTCTGGATGTGAAATATCTTGTCTCTGTGACTAATGTTACACAGGGAAAATGCCACACAAATGAAGACGGAGGGCGCCTGCTTACAAATGTGTGTGATACAGCAGACCAAGTGCAAATTCTAGCTTTGAAGGGAGAGGGGAACTGGCAGTCACTGTAGGACTCTGAAGAAGGAAAATCATACTTAAAGGACACCATAGGGAAAAGGAAGACTGCAGGAGCCTCTGTAGCTGCCATGTAGCTCTCAGGAGTGGGATGGAGTAGATAAAAGCCATTTAAATGTCATGGGGTAAAATACTCAAGATGGAAAGAAGATCACCATCCTTCCTACAGAAAAGCATGATTTCTTCAAGGGCTGAAAAATAGGGCTTGTAGTCTCTTGGAAGTCATGCTGCCACCCACTCTCATTTTCACTAACTCCTCCCAAAATCTCCAGGAGACTTCAAAAGCAGCATGAGAGGTTGAGACAGTGTCTCAACGAGCAGCTATAAGAGGGGAAGACTGTGTCTCCTCCTCTTGCCTGATGATTACTGTCTAGGCTGGTAAGGAGTCACCCGGGACTTAGGGAAAGAAGGCTGAATGCAGGCCAGAGTAGATGTCTGAAGGAATGCACCTCCCTGCTTTGCACAGAAATAGAAAGGTTGGCATTAGCCCTGAGAACTGCCTTTGAGGTTGCCATGTAGCCATGAGAGAGAACAGAGCGGTTTTTCCCTTCATTCCCTCACGAATCCCTTGGAAAAGTTCTGTGCACTGGGCTTTGCATTAGTGGCCAACAGATGGTCCTAAAATAACCTAGTATGACTAAGGAGAGGAAGTAATCATTTCTGCATCCTTCCCACAGTGCTGAGAGACATTTGCTGTCATTGCCCACAATGCAACTCAGATTTCAAAGGTTTCTGTGGAAAATAGGGGTGAAAACATAATTCTGTGCCAAAGCCTGGACAGCAAGCACATGTCATGGTGTGCATGTGTGTGGCAAGGGAGGAAGCCACCACATAGCAGGAAACTGGATAAAAAGGAAAATAATTTCCTGTGGTTTGAATCTCAGTGGACACCCTGGTGCTTCTGCTGCTACAACTTCAGGGTGCAACCCCACTGTTTATGGAACTTCGTGGGGAGAAATTGTCAGATATTACTAATGTTCCTTGTGTGTTACAGTCTGACAGAGATATATTTCAGTGCTGTGTAGAGCACAGAGGGACTCAGAAACAAATCAACTGTGAGCTTGTATTAAGGAGAGCAGATGGGGAGGAGATGCTCAGCTAGGAAATTAATTTTTTTAGAAACATGGTGTGTGTTTCTCACCTTTGTTAGATAATGAGAGGTTAGAGAATAGGTCCCTGCCCTTCCCTGCTCATTGTTAAGTGTTATTTCAAGCAGCTGCTTAACAAAATAAGTGCAAGGGGCTGAAGGACAAGGTTGTCTTTCCTGCTTATCTGTCTTACTGGTATGGCTGCTGTGTGACCCATAATGGTTAAGTTGGACCACATAGAAAAGGGCTGTCCCCAAGGAGAGTGCTAGCAGTCTGCTACCCATTTGGCTTAGAGGAAGCAATTTTTCATTCCTGTCCTCTGGTGAGGTTTCTAAGGGAATGCACCACATATGCTCTTCTCAGACTGACACAGTCTGGTTGGCTCCAGTCACCTGTGGGTTCCCATGTTCCTCAGCTCCCCTTGTCATTTCAGCCTCCTTTTGGCATGGCACTGCCAGCATCCGTGCACCAGTGCTGGCATAATTCTGTGTACATTTTCTTTGAGCTTCACATATAAGTTTCAATTGTTTTCATAATGGATTGTCAGGAGATCATATCACTTTCAATGGTACTCTTAGCAAAATTTCAAGTGTTAGTAGAATCTGCTTAAAATTAACAGCTTCATCCTAATTGTCTCTAATTCTGTCTCTCCCTGTAGTGCTTATATGTTGGTTAATATGCTACTTGCAGAAATACACAGGCTAATGACACATGAAAAATAAACTACTTTACTCCTGCTTGCATTTCCTTTCAGGTTTTCAGTTTTAAAGAGAACATTAAAAGCTAAAAAATTAGCTGAACCAAAACAGGTTACTGTGCTGAGGAATATTTTGCTATCAGGGTGTGCATAGCAGTCAGTTACTTTAGAAAGGACAACTCAGATTTGTAACACTGCGTGCTCCAAAATCCTGATGGCCATCCCTAGTTTTGTGGCTAACTTGCCAAAAGCTCGGTGTGGAGTGGCACAGAGGAAAGAATCCTCATTGCAGAATGGGAAAATGGCATCAGTTGTCTGGGCTGGTGTGGCTTGACCTGGCCTGGCCTTCTTTGATCCCAAATTTGGTCCCTAGTGCAGCTGTACAGTCTTGGATAATCTGCTTCCCCTCTTTATTCCCTGCTCCCATCTATCTCTGTAGGGCTTTGGGGTGGGAATTACTTTTCACAGAAGGGTTCTTAGACTACAGGTGCTCAGGTAAGATAAGATAAATGATGGTGATGCTTTCCTGGAGGAGAGCCTCTGCCAAGGAAAATAAATGAAGGTAAAGCCCATTCCTGTTCTCACTACCTTCTGTTCCTTGCTCAGTAGACTTGCAAAATGGAGCTGGAGGTCAGGCTTAAAGCTGGTTGCAATCAAAGGGCACTTCTCATTCATTTCAGAAAGCTTTGGAATAGACCTTTGGTGTGGAACACAAGCTTCATGTTAGCTGTGCTATTTCCTTACCTGTTTGCAAGTAATAAGACTGCTGTTTCCCTCCCCTTTTCTTCTTGCCTTTCAGGGGAGGAATGATCCAGACTTGTGAACAGTATCAATTTGTGCATCATGTCATGAGCTTGTACGGAAAGCAGCTTTCTAGAGCAGCAGAAGAATAAGTGTTCATGATATTCCTAAAGGCTAAAGCCAGGAGAACTTTTGACTGCGCTCAGATATATTTCAGATCTGATAAGAGACACATGGTAACCTGGCTGTCTTAGCTGGAAAGATATTATTTTACTTTGATATTGCTTTTATGCTCTTGTTTGCATTGACATTAAAGAGCTGAGGTACACCTTGTCTTAAACATATGTGACAGGACATAATCTTCACCAAAAAAGGCTTATTTATACTGTAAATAATTATAGTAGCTTCATTTGTTACAAAAGCAAGGAAAAAAACAGAAAAAAATCCACTGTCTTCAGTTTGTTCTTTTTTAAAAGGTCATTGCTAATATATCCAAATACAGTGTGAAACTTTTTGAATTGTCATGCTGAAATGTGCCGTATGTTGACTAAGCTTGAAAGTAAATTTTTGCCTCTTTCTGATTGTTTTTACATATAAAATTACCGAATACTGTGTGTATCGTAAACCTTCTGAGCCTCTGCATTGAAAGACTCAAGTAGATTTGCATTGAAATGATGTTTCACACATCATGTTTGCTTGTTTATTTTTTCTAAAGCAGTCCACTACCAGTGTTATCTGAACTAGGGGGGAAACAAGATTTCAATGACATGAGTCAAATTCTTGCCTCGAATTCTTACCAGCAGTGTACCCCAGTATCATCACAGTGGGGTCAATCTCAGTAGACATTAATCTGAGCATAAATTCTTTGTGCTTTACCTTTTCTTTGTCAATATTTGGGCATCTTAGTCATCTGGCAAACAGATTGTATTTCTGCAAATAGTTTCTATTTTTACGTAGAAGAGAATTTCTCCTGAAATCTGAGATTCAAAATCAGGTGAGGAATTTTTTTAGTTCATCTTTATTAAAAATCTAATAATAAAATCACTTTTATTCTATGAATTTATACTTGTTTCAAAGTTTTGAGGGTAACCATGTGTCCAGTGCCTATTAAAATTAATGCAAATCCTAAAGGCAACTTAAAAAAAAAAATCAATGTGAACTTGTTGGCTGCTTTGTGAAAAATTTGCCCTCAAACCAAATTTAGACAATAATTAGCCCATTCTAACCACTGATCCAGGCAACAGTGTTTCCTTTCCAATAATAAAGACTGCTGCCTGTGCTTTTTGGTTTAGACTTCAATCAGGCTGGGAAGATTGTAGTTTGTGTTCAATACTTAGAGGTGAGCACACGTTTTAGTGCTTCACTGAGCAGAGAGAAATGGAGGTACGCAGGATCCTTAATATGAAGAATGAGTGTATTGTGAATAGGAGCTCTGATGACCTACTAAAAATATATTTGCTTCTCTTTATTTCTAACAATAACCAAAACCCACTGTTTCGATTAGTGCAGAAGATTCTGAGAATTTACTGCACTTCCTAATCAGGAGAAGGTAAAGCAGCTCTCAGAACAATAAGGGCTGATCCTGCTCCCACTGATGTTTTGCCATTGACGTCAGCAGGTGCAGGGTAAGGCCTGAAATGTTACATCTACAACTTCATCACTGTGGGGAAAAAGTTTCCCAATATTTCAGTACACATCTTTGTGTTTATTCTGTATCCATGAACCTGTAAAAATCCTGTCTGCAGGGTTTGCATGAATGTGTGGCAAAACGTGTTATCTTTAAACCACTTAATTTTATTGCTGTATTTAAAATATTTCCTTCAGTGAGAAGCTAGCAGAAAGAACTGGCATTCTTTTTTAAAATACTGGTGATAGTCTTTAAAGAGAGCAATAAACTTAAGCTTTTGAGCATAACATGACTGTTATTTTTATGTAAATCTTGATAGCTATATTCTCTGTGCTACCAACTTCTTTGAAGGTGTAACACTATTCCATCTAAGCACTCCTTAAAAATAACAAAATAACCACTGATATTCTGGTTAATACTGAAAGTGGAACTCCCTATAAATATTTTTCAGCTTTTCAGTGCCCTTCCATGTCAAAACTGACTCAGTGAATAAAACTACTTGCTCTGTCATTAGCTTCCCATGCATCTGCTAAAGAGTGCTTGTTGGTTGGAGGGCAGTGTGCATCTAGGAGGTAAGTTCAACATATAAATTGCCTCCTGCACAAGGAGATTTTCTAGAGAATAACTTTATGGCAAGCAAGGTAAAAAGGGCTCTAAGATACTGACCTTGAGGTCCTTGCACAGATCCTCAGCAGGTGTTAGCTGGCAGTGCTTCACTCACTTGAGTAAATGTGAATGATTTACGACATTGAAGGAAATCTGGCCTGCTGTCCACTCCTATTCTACACAGGTGGAATGTCCTGAGAGTGTGGCTGTTAATAAAATCAGGTTGTTTGGCATCAATTCACTGCTACAAAGCACATGTCAGTCTCGTTGCGTGCTCTGGTGATGAGGGCTGCACTGCTGCTGCCTCATACCAGGCAAGAGCAATATCACTTGGTCAGGATCAAAATATTCAAATGCCTCTTAAAGTGTTATTTTGTCTAACAGATGTGGAGCTAATCCTCCTATTTACTCTCTGGCCTTATCATAATTAACATATTTCTGTCTCTTTTTTTCTTTACTTTTTTAAAAATAGAATTTGAGATCTGAAGGACCTTTTATCAGCTTTTCTGATCTCTTCTGGCAGCAAAGGTAGTCTTAAGTGCTTAAGATTAGCACAAAGGAGCTCTGGCCGTGTGCAAGCACTTGAGATGAGTGGGGCTGCTGCTTCTGTAATCAGTGTGTTTGAAACTGAGCTGACAATAGGAGCTAAACTAAGCTATGTCTCTGGCTAATCTTTTTACTCCTTCTCTATTAAATGAAAATTCCAAGCATACTTCATCCACCCTCTCCTGCTCAGTGCCTAGGACTCTCTGTACCAGAGACCACAGCATTAGTACCTACAACACAGTTGTTTCCCAGAGGACTGAATTCCTCTCTCCAGGTGGGTAAAAATATAACAAACATGAGATGATTTTATTTAGAACCAACTGTGATGTCTTCTGTTTGATAAGCTTTTTCACACTTGGAACAGGGCAGAGGCTAGCTCAGTGCCTTGGTTGTTTGCTGATCATTTGGTCGATTTGGTCACCACGCTTAAGCAGTTTTATCCTGTTTCTGTCATGGTAACAGACTAATGGAACATTCTGTCCTCATGCAGGTAGTCTGAGATCAGCAGGTGCCAAAGTTATGTAAAAACAAAAACTAAGATTGCACTTGAGTGTAAGAGCTGTCCCCAGATAAAGCACGACTCACTCTATGAAGGATCAAGATTAAGATGACTTAATCAAATTATTCTTAAATGTCAACTACCTAGTAGTCATGTAGGGAAGAGAACTGCATTTCTTCCAAGACTTTCAAAAGTATCTGTTTATTCTGGACTTTTCTTCTGTAATTAGTCTAAAATGGAAAAATCTTAACATGTGAATTTGTAGTTGCAAAATGGACTTGAGAACGAAGACAGGCAAAATAAGACCTTGGTTCCTGTCACTTCCCTGCTATCTCCTCGGAAGAGGAATTGTGCAGCTTGCACATAGATGGTCAGGCCTTATAGGTTTGCTGTGGAGGAAAAACAAACCACTTTTCCTGAAGTCCCTGGAGAAAAACTTTTTTTGTTCTGCTGAGTCTGTAGATAAGTATTTCCTGGTGTCTGGAAGTGACTGTCACCTTAGGATAAAGTAAGGCAGCCCAAGGAAGCTTTTTTCCCTGCAAGTTAAAAAACAATTCTCCATTCAAAGGTGCAGAAAAAATAGGTGAATGAAAGCAGCATTTGCAGCTTTGTGCATAAGGTACAGGCAGTCAAAAATCTGCATGCTCTAGGCAGCACAAGCATTGATTTCTAGTGCCTCAACGTGAATTTTACATATTCACAAAGAAGTTAATTTCTTCGATTACATGCAAGGAAAGAGAAGAATCCACTCTCATTTGAGCGCTGATAGAGGTCAGGCTCCAGCCCCTGAACACAACAGATGCTACATTCTCATGGCATGGTGTGAAAGTCACAGAAGGGGTTATGATTAGACCTGCCCAAGCTTTTGGGCCATGTAATACCCAGCAGGGCAGCAGTGTCAGTTTTACTCAGATGATTGCAAAGCTGAATGAAGAGAGAGACTGAATTACTTACTCAGAATTAAAAGCCATATTGGCACCAGAGCTGGCAATATGGCTCTGAACATTTGAGAACATAAAGCTTAAACAGTCTGGCAAAGGACTTGGGTATTGCAATTCCTGGCCCTTTCTCTCTGCTGGACCATGCTACTCAACTTGTGTTTCCTCTTGGTTCTTTATCTCCTATCTGCCTGTTGCTGCTTATGCTTTAAATAGAATTAAATAAGTCAACTTTCTTGCACTACTGTTAACCCAGTATTTTGATAGCCAGTGTTTTCCAGAAATCATCTCTTTGCTTGGACAAAGCCTGTCTTACTAGACACCCTTCAGAGGGCTCAACCTCCTGTACATAGATCTTTCTCCCAGAATTTTAGGGGTATGAATCTGCAGTTATGTGCATCTTACTAATGGCATTTCTCCATTAAGAAAAAGGTGTTTGCCTGAGTTAAAGCTTATTAGTCTGACCTTAACTCTGCTATTTCTAGTACCAGGTGCAACTTTCTTCTGAAAAGCCAAAGGCAATATTTCCCTGCATCATAGGGGGAAAATCCCCTTTGCATGTTTAGCTTGTTTGCCTCTGAAGTGGACACAAGGAAACACGTCGAGAATTAAGTCAAAACTGATAATGCATAATGGAAACCTTCTTTTGTAAATTAGCTTTGACTCCTTCTACCTTAAAAGAAGGAAAGCTGTGTGTGATTGGTTTTACCACATCCACTGTTGTCTTCTTGATGTTTAGGACGTTGTGAGGAGTACAGAAAGCAAACACTCAGGCAGCACAAAGGTCAGGGTGTCAGTTTGGATAGGTGGGAGGAATTGGATTGTGTTGGCAGTATTTTGGGGTTTTTTGGGGAAAATACAAGTTTCAGTCCAGAAAGCAGGTTTCTCTGTAGTTAAGTTGGGCTCTTGTTCCTGAAGTAGAATATTGAAGACATAAGTGAATGTTGGTTTCTTCATGCATTTGTTAAACAAGCAATAAATAACACCTTATCTACTTCACAACGTGACCAGTCCCATTTCCACACACTTCTGATTTGATCTGTGTTAATAGAACACAAGCTTCCAGACAAGCGAACACAGAGTGTCTGCCTTGCTGGATTCCTTCTTTAGCCTGTGAAACAGCATATGTTTGTTTTGGCTGTCTAAATGTGGTATTTTTTGCTCACTGGAAAGGCTGACAATGTTTCAGCCTCTGCACTGTTTTTTCTTGGTTTTTTGGTTAAACTTTTCACCTTCCTCTTTCTTTCTAGAGACTAGCAGAAATCACCTAAAAATCATCAGGAAAAGGTGGTATATTCCTGGAGGGGGATGGGAGGCTGGAGTTCCAGAGTTTAGCCATAAATTTATTCTCATCAGCCTGTAGAAGTTGGCTAGATTTTTCTGTTCTTTGGTTTTCTCAGTTCCTGTGTTTTGCAGAGCATAACCCGGGTGCCTCCTGCACTAGACTCCCTTTTAAACTGAAGTTAACATAAATATGGAGTGGACAACAACATTTTGTTACAAACAGAAATCAAGTGAGGTCAGTTAAGCAGTTTATTGCCACTATACCTTGTTAAGCCTTTGTTGCAAGCAAGGTAGGTAGTTTGTGTCCTGCAGAATGGATTGGTTTTATCCACCTAAAACAATCTCCTGCACTATGTCAGCAATGCTGTGGTTAACTCAAATGAAGTTAAAAAAAGCCAAATACACTGAGCTGTGTAAATAAAGTGCCCTTCCCATTGGGAATGAAGTCCTCCATATGAAGAAGTGTGGCAGTATCTTAGACTTATTAAGGAATAGAAGAGAGCTGATTAAAGAATGGTCTCCAATACTGATTCTCTAAAGCACAGAGTCCCAGCTTGAGTAACTGAATGAACTGGCTGGAAATGAGAGAAAGTGCTGCATATATAAATATAAAATAAAGCCAAAGCCTAGAGGTGTGAAAGCAGCACTGGGGAATGACTTAAACATCAAAGCAGGATTTTTTGAATGTTTAACTGTTTGAAACCTGGACCCAAGTATTTTGGTTTTATAATGAAAAAAAAAAAACCTGTTAAATTATTTCATAGACTGATCAAAGTTTTGAAATGGTGTCACAATCAATCATAAGCAAACCTGGGATTGGGAAGGTAATGTTTATTTTTAAATAAAAAGGTATATTTTTGACCTACAGAAGGTTTATTCCTTTTAGCATCATACTTGAAGTTTTATCACCCTGTTATTTCAAGAATGAGAAAGTGCTGAAGCCAGTGTAAAGGATGTAACAACACAGCCCACAAGAGGCCAGTATGGATTTGATTTTTGAACTATTCAAAGCTGTATTCAAAGCAGTGTAAAAGGACCCAGGCATCTTCCTAGGAATGCACCAAGCTACACAAGTTCATGTGAGCTGAGGGATGCAGAAAGGACAATAATGGTTGTGAAAGCTCCTGTGGTAGGAATAACCAGACCTTATCAGCTGGGATAAAAAGGTAACATTTATGTAAACATATATTCTCAAGAATGTCATAATATTTTGTGTTCTGTGGCTGTGGTCAGGCAGGGTGGAAATTGGCTGTGTGAGTCCAGTACCTTTAGACTCCTATCTGCTTTGCTTTTCCTATCCTTCCCTTACAAAGAAAGTAACTTTGTGAAGTATCACTCGAAAGTGTAATTTTCTCCTTCAAAAACTCTGTGGCCTGGGATGAAAATTTTGATCAGACAATAGAAATGTAAATAA